GACCTTCGTATTCCAATTAGCCAATCGTACCGTTCTTAAATGTATGACGTCGTATTACACCATACAATCGGTCTTCCTGATCAGCCGTGGTTTCGTTATACAATATAGAAACGTGACTACGTTAGAAAGAGATACCATTGCTGTACTGTACCCCTACTGTATACTCATCGAAAACATTATTCAAGACGAATAATTGCTAGATTTAGTGCTAGGAAAGATAATCTCCGTTCCAATGGAGCTTGGAGCACTCTCCCATTCCAGTTGTCAGATATATAGACTAGACATATGCGAGTGAGCAAATGCATCACTGTGCCGTAATTCCGCCTACCCGATGCACACACAAAAATGCCAATCACGTGGTTAGTTCGCTATTCTCAAATTTGACAGACCCTGGATTGTTCTGCTTGATTTGACGACAAGGAACTGAAATTCCTTCACCGTGTGTGAAATGGCCAACACTATGTGGCCGATCGAAGACAAAGGATAAGCTCTGTCTGATCTGCTTTGTTTAAACATTGTTACATGTACCGACGATATTGTTGTAGCCAGTGGGAAGATTTAAGGGGATGGTGGTTAGGTTACCAAAACACTAATCGCGCAATGAGCGTTCCAGCAAAACGCGAATGGTAAATTCAACTGAAGTATTATCTAACTCGCTTGAAGACGAAAAGGTATATAACCTTCGACGAAAGACCACCTGGAAAAAGAACAGTCCAAGCGATCTTTTCGTGTTTCTCTGGATTCCTCGATATGAGACGAGGATGGGTGGTGAAATATCCATACAAAGCTCATTGAGTGGGCGTGGAAATACATTTTCACACAGTACAGTCTAGCGTTACCACCAGCATCGCACAATGAAGTGAACTTTTCTGAGTACTTTCAAGTCCCATGACCAGTTTGTTCTATTCGTTTACTTCAGTTAACCCTCAGTCGACCCCGACAAATTAGTGCAAACAACTGTCAAAGTGGTATCAGTAGCGGCTTCCGTATTTGTGGTAAAGGCATTTTTAGCTCAACGTTGTGAGCAAGCAATGAAGTTGGGACTGGGCCGCTTGTTGTTTTTATCGTATTAAGGAAGCCTATAAGTCGGTATCGGTTGCACTGGAGAGGGACATTTCCCGTAATATCTGGACCTCCTAACTGGTCTTTGGGAGGGTCGACCTGGGAATTCAAAGCAATGATTTTACTTCCACCGAAACAATTTCTAACCCACGTTTTCTCCACTGCAGACAAGAATCTGTCTTACCTATCTGTCATACTTCGCATAAACTTGTCGAGCGGAACTTTAAAGCAGTAGGAACAGAACTACAATCCATCTAATTTATAGATAATTCGTTTGATTTGCTTGATTGCAAACACAGCACACGATGATCTGATCGGGTGCAGACTATGCACGACTTGACATTTTACCACATCCCATTAGACTAGATACTTACGAAAATTGTGACACGTAAGCACAAAATATGACAAATCACCAAAATAACAAATAATTGAATTTCAAATATATATATATATATATAACCATCAGTAGGTAACGAACGGTGGACCTCAATGCGACAATAACTTGCTGTTCGATTACGAGAATCGGAAGTTTGAAATAAGGAACCTGGAGTTGTTGTTAAGTTCAACTGAGATAGACGTTGTACTACGTTGGGAAGTAAAGAAACAATCTGCAATCAAATTTTTGTGTCAGTGATTCCACCGAACTACGATATAAGTTGACCTCATCCACGATTCTGTTTTCAAAGCGGCATGCGGTCGATTTGATCGCCAGAGCTACACCAACAAACTTGTTCTAGTTCGAACAAACTTCATGGGATCTACATCATCTACACCGTATTCAAATGATTTATTTGACGAAATACCAGTTTCACGGGGAAGTAAGAATGATGGTGAGAGAGAGGGAGGCTGAGCAACTCACTTTGGCGAGCATTCGCCCGAGGAAATAATAATGTTTCAAGTAGTCGTCGTACAGTACAGATGCCTGTGGGTTCGGATACAGAGTTTTCTCAGCCGTGTAGACGAAGAATCCACGAGTTGGATCAAATCCATTCATGATCAGCTCTGAAAGGAACTCCCGTGCTAGTCCACCACCATCTATTCCGGCTTCTTCAGCCCCAACTTGATTCATAAATCGAACTCGTAGACGAGGTTGTAAGTTCGGAGCTGGCAACCAGATTGCAAAAAGAAGGAAGCGGAAGGGACTGTGGTGAGAAAGCTGA